CCCAGCTTCACCCGGAACCAGCCTATTTGGCAACATGTGAGAAGTAGAAAGTACAGGTATTTGTGTTCAACATGTAAGAAGTAGAAAGTACAGGTATTTGTGTTCAACATGTAAGAAGTAGAAAGTACAGGTATTTGTGTTCAACATGTAAGAAGTAGAAAGTACAGGTATTTGTGTTCAACATGTAAGAAGTAGAAAGTACAGGTATTTGAGTTCAACATGTAAGAAGTAGAAAGTACAGGTATTTGTGTTCAACATGTAAGAAGTAGAAAGTACAGGTATTTGGTTTCAACATGTAAGAAGTAGAAAGTACAGGTATTTGTGTTCAACATGTAAGAAGTAGAAAGTACAGGTATTTGAGTTCAACATGTAAGAAGTAGAAAGTACAGGTATTTGTGTTCAACATGTAAGAAGTAGAAAGTTCAGGTATTTGGATTCAAAATGTAAGAAGTAAGTGGAGTAAAGTACTGATACCAGAAAAATGTACTTAAGTACAGTAAGAAAGTATTTGTACTCCACTACTTCCCACCTCTAATAATAATAGAGTCTTACAGTTTTTCCCGCTGACCCCAGGGGCCCCGTCCCCCCCGGGGGTCCGATGAGGGTCCGGTTGTTGATGGGGCAGCCCTGGGAGCACTTGGCCCGGATGGAGGAGGCGTACTGGGAGATCTGGGCGGTGACCACGCCTCTGCAGAGCTGAAGCACCTGCTCATCCGTCAGACCAGGACCCTGCAGACACAAAACACCCCGTCACTGTGGGGGGGAAATATTCTCCTAGATACCTTTGACCCAGTTCATCAGTTAAACTGCCCTCGCTGAGCACAGGCCTGCGACCTTGGGCTGATCTCAGTGTTTTGTCTCCCTATTCTCACAGAACCAGCTAAATACATGGGTCTGGGCGTGGTACATGTCTTGTGAATTCTCTGGTCGTTAACTCCATAATAAACCATCAGTGTTTGCCATCAAAGTTCCTGCTCTTTTATGACACATAGAAGCTGCTGACTTTCGTGAGTGGGGTATTTAAAGTCGTAGAACAACGTGTGGTAACCTCTTCAGGTGTGTAACCCACAGACCTTATTTAAGGCATCCAACCAAAAACATGTTCAAAGAAATAATGATTCAAGACGAGGGAACAGGAAGTAGTTCAATGTATTTCCCGGTTTTAAGACTTGTTTCTGCACCTCTCTATTGGTCTCCTTCGTTTCCTTCCAAAACAATCTATAACATTTTTATTTAAACCCTTTTTCTTTCATGAACAATGAACAATATGATCAGAAACGTGGATATAGCTCAATCAGATAGAAATACTCACGGAGGGGCCTGGAGCTCCTTTAGGTCCCGCCTGGCCTCGAACACCGAGGTCTCCGAGCGCCCCGAGCTCTCCTCTGGTTCCCGGGAGCCCGGGGGGGCCGAGGGGTCCGGAGAGGCCGCTGCGCCCCACAGTTCCTCGAGGGCCACGCTGTGAGAGAACAGGGAGCGAAACAAAGGAGGGAAACCATTTTAACTGGTGTTGTGAAAACACTGAATGTCCTCTTCCAACATGAGAGTAACATGATAACAAAGGTATCCCAACTGTAGCTGTGAACATGACAGGATGTGTGATTACCTAGAAGAGCATCAGGACTGTTTGAGGCATATGATAGCTATGTGATTAACATGATGATTCAGCCTCTATGGAGAGAGACATATGACAAGCATGATCATTTCTGACGTGGAGCTAATCTGAAGTAAACATTGAATACTGCTTTCTATTCCTCCATCTTGTGACTGTGGAACTCCCTCTCTTGGATATCAGCATGTGAAGGACACTGTTCAGGAACTAGTTGATGCTCTGTATGTGATGACTACTTCCATTCTGGAGAGGATCACAGATACATGGATCCAGAGATTCAAGCTCAAGCCGGGGACCAGGGAGATTTCTCTAACAGCTGGTCTGTTCCCACACATATCTGCACACTCCATTCTATTTTAACATCAAGATTCAATCACTATGTTTTATTGCTTTAGGTCTTATTTATGTATATTATTTTGCACCGTTGAAGGAGCTTGGGACTTCCATTGCACATCGACCCCAGCTGTGAATATGACAAGCCTTTGAACCTCTTATTTATTACACAGCTGTTTAACAATCTGTTCCTATCACCCAGGCTTTACATTGAGTATATCGGTTTGTCTTATACAATATAAAACCTTCTGTCTATTCCTGTTACTTCTTTACATACACTCTACAAAGTATCATCATAACAGCCAATCAAACGTGTATTCATTTGATACATAAGGATAACTAAGATGTCAAATATAACACAATTGAACATCTGCTTTGCTTATTGTAATAATGTTCCTTTTCTTAGATTTCTTGAATGGTTTGGATTTAAATCTCTCTCTTAGGAGTCTGTGAAAGAGGGCTGGCCTGCCGTCGTGTGTCAGACCTTTTTGTCTTCTGTCATAGAGGATTGGGTCAAAGCAGAGCGTGCTGAGGAAACTGCATTAGTGTGTATTTCTATGACGTCAGGGTACATTAGGAAGTAAATAGAGTAAACACCTGTCCTTTGTCTCCACGGTCTCCCACGCCGCCCTGAAAGGAGAGAAAACTGACATCAGTGAAACCCGGCAGGTGTGGAGGAAGAGGAAGTGAACATATGGAGGAACAGTTTTATCATCAGACTGTAAACAAATTACCTTTGGGGCTTTCACACCTTTGATGCCCGTCCTTCCTGCTGAGCCCTGCAGGGGACACACCCAGAGGAGGAAGACGGGATTATTTATCAGAACAACTTAACAGCATGTGATTGATTACAGTCTGGTAGCAGCTCATAGAGTCCTGCTGTGAACCCGGAGATGCTGACACCAATGTTTTTATATTAGAAATGTATAGCAGGGTCTCCAGCGCATATGTTGGGACATTTGCACCAGTAGCACAAGTTGAGTAAATAGCATTAATTACCATTATAGCTTGGACAGTTTTGGAGTGGTTTTGGGGGCTATTGAGGAGGCCGAGTCCATTTCTGACATTTCCAGGATCAAATAAGACAGATTTAACCAAAAATGGCAATGTGTGTACTCTTTTTGATTAATTCTGGGTCGATCTGGAAGATTTAGGGGACTCTGGATCATCTGGATTGGACAGATTTGAAAAAAGTGTCCACAGTAGATGTTATGACGTTCATCTGGTGCTCTTATATCCAATGGTCGCAACACTTCTAGTTTCTTTAACTTGTGTGATGTTCTGTGAGCGGAGATGTGTGATTTCTGATTTCATGTGTTTACTTATTTCTCTGTGCGGCAGCACTTTGGTCTGGAGGTTTTAAAATGCTTTACAGATGAAGTTGTATTTGATGGAATAATCTCTCACCGTCTCTCCATCGGGTCCGTTCTCACCTTTGGATCCCTGGAAGACATTCAGGTTCAATTACTTTTTCATTTCATATTAAAGTGTCGTCATTCATGAATCTGTGCAGATACTCACAGTCGCGGCCTGCAGACCCTTCGCTCCGAGTTTCCCCGAAACTCCAGCATCTCCTTGTTCTCCTTCAGCTCCCTGAACCCCACAGACAGGAAACACTCAGGAAATGAGATTTAAAAGTTTAGAGGTGGGAGAAATACTCAGAACTTGTACTTGAGTAAAAGTAGAAATACTCAGAACTTGTACTTGAGTAAAAGTAGAAGTACTCAGATCTTGTTCTTGAGTAAAAGTAGAAGTACTCAGAACTTGTACTTGAGTAAAAGTAGAAGTACTCAGATCTTGTTATTGAGTAAAAGTAGAAATACTCAGAACTTGTAATTGAGTCAGATCTTGTTCTTGGGTAAAAGTAGAAGTACTCAGATCTTGTTCTTGAGTAAAAGTAGAAGTACTCAGAACTTGTACTTGAGTAAAAGTAGAAGTACTCAGATCTTGTTCTTGAGTAAAAGTAGAAATACTCAGAACTTGTACTTGAGTAAAAGTAGAAGTACTCAGATCTTGTACTTGAGTAAAAGTAGAAGTACTCAGATCTTGTACTTGAGTAAAAGTAGAAGTACTCAGATCTTGTACTTGAGTAAAAGTAGAAGTACTCAGATCTTGTACTTGAGTAAAAGTAGAAGTACTCAGATCTTGTACTTGAGTAAAAGTAGAAGTACTCAGATCTTGTTCTTGAGTAAAAGTAGAAGTACTCAGAACTTGTACTTGAGTAAAAGTTGAAGTACTCAGATCTTGTACTTGAGTAAAAGTAGAAGTACTCAGATCTTGTACTTGAGTAAAAGTAGAAGTACTCAGATCTTGTACTTGAGTAAAAGTAGAAGTACTCAGATCTTGTACTTGAGTAAAAGTAGAAGTACTCAGATCTTGTACTTGAGTAAAAGTAGAAGTACCAGAGTGTAGGAATACTCTGTCACAGTAAAAGTCCTGCATTCAAAATGTTCCTCAAGTAAAAGTAGAAAAGTATTCTCATCAAAATATAGTGAAAGTAGAAACAGTAAAAGTAGTCATTGTGCAGATTGGTCCATTTCAGAATAATATATATGATATGTTTTATAATGATTGATCATGAAAGTGTTCTCAAAGCTGGTAAAGGTTCAGCTAGTTTGAATGACTTTGTATACTGCAGGGTAGCTGGTGGATTCACCTTAAAGACTCACGTTGAGGTCGTAGTGTTTCCATGTCAGATTTAAAGCTGACTTCTTCAGAAAGTCCACAACAAGTTCTCAGTTATTTGTATTTCCCTTTCAGTACTGGAGCTTCTTCCCTCAGGGTTTTCCTCGTTGACATGTGATCAGGTTGGACAGCCAATGAGAGACTTCCCGTTATAAAAACATTTTAAAAGACTTGTTTTGGATTCGGGATGTTAAGACAGAGCAAAGCAGCGTCCATTGTATTCAACCATCGAGATATAATTACGATAATTAACATGTTGATAAAACAATGTAAGGTGTGTTTTTAGAAGAGTTTTCAGGACTCCAAGTTTCTTCATCTTTCATTTTAAGTCTTTTTTAAACTTTCAACATCTCAAGTTCAGTGTTTTCAAAGCGTGCGTCCATGTCTGCTGTCTCCAAACACATGGTTTAACAACATGCGACAGACGTTGTGTGCGTGGGAGTCTAAACAGGACAGGGCTTTTTCACTTCCCTTTCTTTTAAAGCCTTGACATTATAAATATCCTTTTTTTAAATGTCAGGGGCCTCCCCGAAACTGCAGCTTTATACATTTCACAATACAGATTTAGAAACCACCCTTTGTGGGACTGTCCCCATACGGAAAGAGAAAGGTGTAGTTCAAACAACAATTACCATCTGGACTTTCAGGATCTAAATGACCCCTACTGTCTGGAGATTTTTTACATTCATTTCCATAAAACTCATCGCTCCTTCTGGTCTCATCTCCAACCAATGAATATAGAGGAGGGAAAATAACTATTAGCACATTTTCCACCTCTAAAGACACACTGGTTTTAACGAGGGCTTTCTGAAGTGTCCGTACTCGGACGTTTATTTACCTCAAATTGAATTGACAGTGATTTACAGACGTTTTTCCCCCCATGTAAGTCAATGGGAAAGAGTCTTTCTGGGCCCTGTGGCGTCATTCAACCTTTATATATACACTCTACACATCATACATTTACAACGACAGCGAGTCGATTATAAACAACAACAACAACGCGATACAAAAAAGAGGCAACTTCATCATAAAAGCCAAAAAAACTTGTAATAATTTGATAGATAAATTAGGATGATTAGGATATACAAATGGGGCGAAGCCTGCGAGCTAGTTCAGGAAGTCGACTCGAGCACCAATCATACATTACCACGTGACGCACCTCGTCCCTCTTACAACCAACCAAACACATGTTGCTGCTGCTCGCCTGCCCCCCCACCACCCCAGCTTCCACCCCAGCTTCCACCCCAGCTCCACCCCAGCTCCACCCCAGCTTCCATCCCAGCTACACCCCAGCTTTCACCCCAGCTCCATCCCAGCTCCACCCCAGCTTCCACCCCAGCTCCACCCCAGCTCCACCCCAGCTTCCACCCCAGCTTCCACCC